AACAACCCAACATTAAGACTAACCCACACTAATTACAAGCAACCCTTGAGTAATATTCCCTCTATTTCATAATATTCATCCCACATTGAAGTCGGTAGTCGAACATTGCAAAATTTGACTATGATTTGTGTTAAAAACACATTATGTTATAATGTGAATTGTGAAACTAATATCATTATATTCATTTTGAAGTATTGTACTATTTTAGAATATACTGCAACAACAACAACCCAGTTGAATCCTACTACAGTAGGGTCTGGGGTTTTAGAATATACTGCATTTAGTGTATTTATTGCATATAGTTACACATAATAATGTTCAAACTGTTGTACCGGATACCATGAAATTCAATTTGGGATCAGTATTATGAAATGGATGGAGTAATAAGCAAGTAAGCAAGACTTGAATAAAAACACCAAACAGCTTCAAAGGCATTTTTAGGAGAACTCATAAATTCTTTCTAGTCTTTTTTTAGTTCTTCATACTGCTCATCCTACAAATGCTTCATCTTCTTTGCATGCAACAGCCCACTCATCCGCTATAGTAACTCCAACGTCCAAGCAGTTGCATTGATCCCATTCCCAAGCACATAACTTTTTATGGTTAATTAGAACCCATGCATGTTTCCAACTTGAATTCTTCTATTTAATTTGCTGTTTCTCTCATAGGATGAGTCAAACAACAAGTGCATGGCTTATTGGCTGTCAAACACATCTGTATTACTATTTCTACTACAACATACACTACGAGCTAATACAGTTTCCACCCCAAGCAAACCCCCCAACCAACAACCTTTTTTGGAAGGATGTTCAGCAGGTCATCTCTTTCATCATGACTTGGATGTTCCATGAAATATTCATAAATCATTACTTAGATGTTCCAATATTTTTCTCTTTCTCAGTTTTTCTCACTGCTTTCTTGAATCTATTGGTCTTTTTAGAAGCTTTTAATACATTATTTAAATGCTTTATTTGAAGTTCGAATGAAACTATTAAGACATTAATAGTTCTATAATATACTTGGATGTCAATTGAGAGTCTTCAGTTGCTATATGTGTTTTGATTATCCGAGTATAATAATAACATAATCTAATTAAAAGTTTTTTGGCAAATCCATCCAATGAGAATTTGTTGCGCTTGGGATATAAAATAGAAGACCAACTGGAGAAACCTGATTCAGAAACGGGTTTAGGGTTTGAGAAGGCTGGATTGAAAGTGTAATCGATGAAATTGATCATAATACTGAAGAAATAAAAAAGGAAATTCCTTAAATGGGAAGTCATCAATTGGTATTATCTCAACGTTCTAGAGGTTTCATGTTCAGTGAGAATGACACCAATATTTGTTTGAATGTTATGGAAGTTTCATGTTCACTGAGAATGACACCAATGTTTCTTCTTCTTTACATGAGTATGTGTTGGATAGACTGTCTACAAGGGGGCCAGAGCCGAAAGCCTTATATATATATAGTAGAGTGGTTTAATTGTCGTTACACCATGTGGCGTGCCACCTAAGATTATTCTGCTGACTCATCATAAAAATGCCATGCCATGTAGGATTAGAAAACTGACAATTAAAAGAAGAAGACACATTTTTCATTTCCGATTAACTGGTACGGAGCACATAACCTTTTTAAAGTTTTTAGGGTTTTTCTCTTCCTTCTCCTCCCTGAATAATGATGATTCGCCCTGAATAACGATGATTCGCTCTGATGAAGACGAAAGTTCGGAGATCTATTCATCGAATATTGTAACCAGCGTCCTCAAGAAGGCTGCGAAAGTTCTTTATTACCGCCACAAGAGGACATCTTCCTGTCACTCCAAGCCACCAATTTGGACAGGTTATTTTAATTCAAATCTCACTATATACAATGGTAGGATGCATTTTTCTACAGTGTTCCCGCCCATTTTTATGCTACAGTGAGATTTGGACCACATATTTTGATATAATATCTTCCCGCATACTCACTCACTATAGATGTACTTGAGTACCGGAGAAGCTTTGCTTCTTGCATACTCACCCATCTTCCGGGTTTTTAGGGTTTCTTTTGAAAGCTTCCCGAAATTTTGGTCTGGGATTTCACACGAGAGAAGCTTTGGAGTACTGGTGATTTTGGTCTGGGATTTCGCACGCCATTATGGAGTACACGGAGATAAACCTAAAGCACATCCCAAGCAACAAGACATAGAGAGAGAACTACGGGAGATTGACTTTTCAATCAGATGGGTTGCAGTGACGAACGACACAGCGGCGGTCGAGCATCGGCGACAGAGGAGGAACTGTGATGGATTCTAGGAGGGGTATTGTCGAAGGCTTCTTCTGGCAGCCGCGCTTCACACAGTGCAGATCGGAGAGGGAAAAGAGGAGTACTCTATTGACCAGAATGAATACAGAGATGATGGCGGGCAGACCTTTAGGAACAACACATCTTGAGGGAGAGGTAAAGGTGGAGGTCGTGGTTGTTACAATTTTTGTACGGATTACAACAGACGGGGAAGACGAACGGACCCGGAAAATAAAAATAAATAAAATTCTGAATTTATAACTTATTCAGAATATTACAAGATAAACAGAATTGAAAATAAATTTCAATATCTTCAAGCAGCCTTGTTGTACGAGGACATTATGCACTGGACATCGATGACATTACGCACTAGACAGCAAGGACATTATGTCCTAGGGAAGAAAGCAGCGAGGTCTTTATAAAGTAAACCTGCAAAATAAAACATCGTGAAGGACAGCGGAGTCGCCGAAGCTTTCCTTAAGGTAGTAGTGCCCGCCTACGTACCGGAAAAACGTGGGCACTCTCCTCCCAGGATAAAACCGCTATCGTGTGTGGAGATTGTACGGACCAACCACACACCAACGAACAAGAACAACGTAGGAACGTTGACGACCGGAAAAAATGAAGGTGGGGAAAAATTGGCAAGAAAACCAAGAGCTCCCCTCAAAGTTAAACAAGGACAAAAGTGTTAACTTTTTCCTTCTCCTTTTTTTTCCCCACGTATGGATGCTCTAAAAAAATGAGAAGAGTCCCTCCATTTAAATAGGCATTTTCATGGCTCTTCATTTTGTAACTTATATGCCATGAAGGCACATTCAATAGCCATGACTCACCATCATTAGTAATATTTTTAATGGTGTGTTAATACCATCATTAACATGGGGGTTACACCCATAATGTTTAAAATTCTTCCTATTTAATTGGAGATTAATGGCCAGTTAACTCCGTAAAAGTGGAATAATTTTAAACATTACGTAACGGGTTAACTCTGAGAATCAATTTCTCATTCACCCTTCTACCATTTTTGGCGTATAATATATCAAAATATTTATCTCATTTAAGAGAACACATGTCCTTTAATTAACGGTTAAAACCGTTAGTGGACCTATTGATAATTATACCCAAGTTAGTCCATTTAATGCCTATTAAAATGCCAAAAATTCCAACCGTGGTTGCAGGAATACAATCAACAATTCTTCATCTTTCTCAACATTGGCCCAGCGGCTACGGCACATTTCTATTTTTTTCATCAAATTCATATAGAAACTCTCAAATTAAGAATAGCTAAGGGCATAACTCGGTGGTGATTGACATGCTATATAAGAGGTGCATTTATTTGTTTCAATCTCTTTAATCCCTTTGATGCACATCTTACGGGTGGCAGAGCTGGGCTAGGCTAGCAACACCACCTGCTTGCTGGATTTGGGATTGGCTTTGGTCTCTGGTATCACATATTTCATTTCTAGAATTTTACATCCGAGCATGGTTGTCAAGTCGTCGCCTAGGCCACGACTAGTCGCCGACTAGTCGTCCGGGTGGTTTTGCCATGGAGATTTGCTGTACGACTAGCGCCTATGGCCGACTAGGCTATTAAGCGCGCTTAGCGACGCTTAGCCGCGATTAGGGGATGCCTAATCGGTGAAAAAAATTGGCTGATTTTGACCTAATTCAATTGACCCGACCCGACCCAATCGGCAGTCTGGAGGTTCGCGACTCTAGGCTTCCCATTCCAGGGTGACTTCCGCGACTTCCAGCCAAGCGACTCTCCTCCATCGATTCTCCTCCATCAGCCTCCAGCAGCGACTCTCCAGATTTCTTTTACTTTGTTATCATTAAAGTATACTCTATTTGATTTAATTTTCATTGATTTGGTTCATTAAACAATAAAGTATAATACTCTGTATACTTTAAAATTTTCAGTTTTCTTCTATTTTTTTAATATCTCATTTTTTTTCTGATTTCAGTTAATATTTTAAATTTTTTCTTATTCCAGTACTCCCTCCGTCCCAGAGTATTTGTCCACTTTCATTTTCGCACACCATCCAATACACTTCTTTAATCCATTTTATCTTGTAATTTGTATATTAAAAAATTATAGAAATTATATATTAATAATCTATATGTTAAGACAAATCAAACAAGATCACACATGACTATATTTAGGCGTACACATTGAGAGAATTTGATGAGTCAATGTGCTTAGATGAACAGTTCCAAAAGTTAAAAGTGGACGAATATAGCGGGACGGAGGTAGTATTTTAGTATTTCAGTTTTTTTTTCAGTTTAATAGTTCAATTTTTTTTATTTCAGTTTTTTGATAACTCAAAACATGGAATTAACTATTTTAATGTCCTTTGACTTCTTATTTGGTTAATTATCTTTCTTGGTGTGTTATTTTTAAAGATTGAAGGATATTTGTTTGTTATGTACTCTTTGTTAAGTGACTTTATGTGCTATCTATAAACATAAGTTTGCTTTGGTTATGGTGTTTTGACGTATAAATATATATATATATTCATGTTGGGTTAATATAGATATATATAATGTTAAAAATTTTAATACTAATTGTGATTTGTCGCCTAGTCTACGACTAGTCTACGACTAGTCGCCTAGTCCACTAGTCTCCCTGTCACCGACTCGACTCGACTTGTCGACTTAACAACCATGCATCCGAGCATATCTAACATTGCTTCTAAGTATCTATTATCTAACATGGCATGAATGGCTAACGGTGCAGGTTAAATTTGGGTGTAATTGGCTTTCACTCACTGTATCTCCCCTTAATATATGCCGTGTTTTTAACCGACTTCTTTCAGGTAGTTACAATGATCATTTTTTTCTTCCCAATGAAGAATGACATTCTTACATTGTATATACGTTGTGATCGCCTCATTGTCTATGTACTTTGTGAATATTTCCACTCATGTGAACTGTCCACAACCCCGTCCTGGAAACGCAGTGGGGGCAAAGGTCTTCCTCTTCGGTGATTGTGTGTAAACGGACCGTTCTTCTTTTAGAGATAGTAAGAGTGTAGAAACTGTAAGGTTAATTCTTGGGGAGCAACATCACCCGCGTCAGCAAGTAGATCTACTGGTCTTCTTCTTCTTTCAACGTGGTAGCAAGGTAATGCTTTCTATTCGAGTTTTATTCAATTTTATAAAAATTCTTTCATACTTTGTGGTAATATGTAATTTGATATATCTTTGCACTTGATATTTCAATTATTCTCTAATAATTATCTTTATTTGAGTGCATCAATCTACAGTTTATTTCATAAGCTTACCTAAGATCAAGAGCCTGTGGAGTGGGGTAATTTAAATTTGTGTTATACTGTCAATATATTTGTTCTTTTTTTGATAGGTTACCGCGAGTATACTATGAATGTGCCTGATATTGTTTGTAGTCTACGTTCTGTTTGGGAAGGCTGCATTGGCATGTCTGCAGTGAAGGTTTGAATTATGTTATTGATGAATCTTAGTTTTTATCATGTTATTGATGAATAATGTGTCTTCAAACCTTCATTTTCATGCAGTTATTCTTTGGGTGTTGTTATTTTTCTCAGTCAATGGAAGAGCAAAAGAGAGAAATGAAGTTGATGGACCCTGAAGCCACACTTTCCTCCTATGTAGGTGGTTCATAAAGCCTCAAATATGGTTGGTAGAGAAGGCATCCCTCTTCTGGAAGGATCAGAAAAGGTAATACAATAGGCGTAACTTTTCCTCTCCAATTCTTTTTTTCTTGAATAAATTTTTTCAAAACTAGGATTCTCAAATAACAAATGGTTTGAATTCTTTTTTATAGATAACAAGTCTGAGCAACTATAAACTTATCTTAGTAAGGAGTTGTTTTTGAGGCCACCCTGCTTTGGCACAGTTTAATGGTTTTGTCATTTACAAAAAAGGACTCATTAATGACCAAGCAGTAATTTATGGGCAATACTGACAGTTAGGTTTGGCACAGAAATGGAAATAGCTTCTCTTGGATCCGACCAGTCCATCAATTGGCAATCACTTTAGGCCAAAATGCACACTAACGAAGTTCACAGTGAAGCATTAGCTGAATCTTCTCCACCAAGGTTCTATACTAATTGCTCGAGAGAGAAGCAATCAATCAATTTCTCCACCAAGGTTCTCCAACTTCATACCGTAAACATTTTACCATATCCGTCCAATTCCAATTTGTATTTTGTTTGTGATGGATGTGTTTGGTAAATCCATAAATCATACTTCTACTTATATTAATGTGTTCCCAGTGAAGAAGGGACATAGATCATATGAGCATACAATGATAGAAGAGCAGCTTCATCTATGGAAGAAGAGAATGCAAATGAGCAATTAATGTTAAAATAATGTTGAAGGATGATGAAGAATACCCAGAAGTAGAGAGATATCTTCATTTTGGTTTTTCTTTTTAAATCTTATGCAAATACCATATGGCTGCAGGAGCAGGCTCATTATATCATTCCAACTATCCTTGATGCTTTGAATGGTTCTGTATCAATCCTAGATCCTTTCACAAAAGTTTGCACTCAAGGTGATCAACAAAATCCCTTAAAGAGAATTTATAATTTCTTATTCTAGAGCATGAACAAGTATTTAATTTCTAATTCTGGCAGGTGATTCATCAAATACTAGGCCCCTTCCCAGCACCATGACTCTGATTCTAACATCTTTTGATCACAAGGGACAATATTAAGAAGTAAGGTCTTATGTATAACATCTTTTAGTTTGTACAACTCTTTCTATTTTTTTTATCCTTTGACACCTCAGTTTCTAATTTCTTTCAAGGAACATATTTAGTGCAAAATTGACGATTTAAAAACGACAAGACTGCAAAATTAATGATTTTAAAAGCAGGATTAATGGCTCAGACATTTGCCTCTGAATGGTTAAGTATTATACAGAGTATGAGTAGTTAAGACCTCTTATCTAAATTGATCTGACATTTGCCTCTGAATAGTTAAGCAATATACTAGCTCTTAATAGTTTAGACCTCTTACTGGTTCAGCACTTAATAGTTCAAACCTCTTATTGGTTTAGCACTTATCTATTCAGAAATTGTCAAATAGCCCCTTACTCATATGTGTGATTTTGTAGATAAAATCGAATTGGTTTTTGAGATCTACACTGTTTTGTTCATTTCATGTCTCTATTAAAAAAATATTTATAATTGTATTAGACTATAAAAGGTACAGGAAAATTGTCATGAAGAACCAAAAGAAGCAAGTGATTTCAAGCAATCAGCTAATTGTAAGATACAATTATACATTTTGATTAATTTATGACATACATTATGAATTTAAAGACTGATTGTGTCTATTACAGGGTTATTTGAATACGGCAAAAAGTTGTCTTGCCAATTCAAAAGAGGTTTGTAGTTCTCTACTTCAACAAACATCAATGTGTCATTCGAGAAGACCACATGAAATCTGTCAAACTCAGGATCTATATCTATACTATATTTAAAAAGAGGGGAATTTTCCCTTGCGTTTTCCCGCCCATACGTGTGACGCACAAATGGAAGTGTCGAGTGTAACCATATACCGTGTAGAATAAAAAGGTAAGTACTCTGTAGAATAAAATGATAAGGTAATTTAATAATGCCTATACTTATTTTTAATAAGGTAATATAGAGTGTAATAATGATTATATAGTAGTAATAATAATATACACAATATAATATTATTATTAATAAGGTAATATAATAAAGTGTATTTGGTAATAATAATATATACGGTAATAATAATGATAAGGAGGATAATATTAATTACGGTAATAATATTAATAATACTAATAAAGGTAATAATATTAATTGCTAATATCATCTTTCCCATAAAAATGTAAAAGTAATCTATTATAATAAGTATCCATTTTTTTCAAATTTCTAGGCTCCTAAGCTTTTCTAAAATAATAAATGGTCAAAAATAGCAAGAATAATTTGTATATGGTAATAATAATAATAATAATAATGAGAATATTACTAATAAAGGTAATAATAGTAATGGCTAATATATATGTGTGTAAATAATACTAACATATTTACCTACGGTACCATCATATTACCGTGTAGAATAAAAAAATGTAAGTACCGTGTATAATAAAATGATAAGGTAATTTAATAATGTTTGTAGTTATTATTAATTAAGTAATTTGATAATGTCTATATGGTAATAATAATTATATTCACGGTAAAAATAATAATAAGGAGAATAATACTAATAATGGTAATAATATTAATAATACTAATAAAGGTAATAATATTAATTGCTAATAATATTAATAATGCTAATAAAGGTAATAAAATTAATTGTACTATAGAAGAAATAAAAATAATAATACTAATAATACCAATAAAGGTAATAATAATAATTGGCATTTCCCATAAAAATGTCAAAGTAATTTATTATAATAAGTTTTCATTTTTTAAAACGCCGGGCTATTAGGTTTTTTCGAGAATGAAGAAAAAAATAAATGGACGAAAATAGGAAAAGAAGCTAAATAAATTTTACTTAGAAAATTATACATGATAATAAATTACTTTTAATTAGAAATAATAATGAAATCATACTACCGTGTGAAATGATTTGTTAGGCTCACTACAATTTTACGAAAATATAGAAAAAAATAAACGACCGTAGAAAAAGAAACAAAAATTTTCAAACAATAAATACGGTAATTCTCAATCACTTTTGTAATTGGCCTCTTTAGACTGCGTTTTCAACTCTACCCTTCAAGTAAAACATGGGGTTTTTAATGGCTGTAAAAAATATTGATGAGAGGTCATCAATTTTGATGCTAAAATTGAGAGCGATAAGATTTTATAATGTTCGCGCCCATACTAGGGGCCCAAATCATTGGATGTATTTTTTTTATGATTCTAAGTTAGTACTTTCGTTAATATGAATCTGGAATACTTATACATTAACAACATTGTAATGATGGTAATATATGTTTTTTCTTTGCATTATTAGGGAGATCGAATACATGCGTAGCTCAGATATTTGTATATACGTTAATATGTTTTTTTCTTTGCAAATATAACGCATGCAGCGCACGGGTGTGATACTTGTTCAAATTAAGTTAAATATTCTTACCATATAATTTAATAGTCTATGTAGGCTTTTGTTAAGTTATAAAAGTCAATGTAGGTTTTTCTAAGTATACGACTATACGTGAAACGATGAAGAAATGGCCCTTAATAGGTGGGCTTCCTTGGAAAAATGGGTGAGTCTTGAGCAAAGAAGTTTTATTTATTCATGGTCTCAAACAAAGTACATATAGATATAATAACAAAATACCTTTCATGTTATTTTGTTTTTAATGATTTTCATTTAGGTGAAAGCATTGCGAGAAAAGAGCCACACAATGGAAATGAGTTGAATCAACAAAATGAAGGACATCACTATGTTTCAAGAGGTAAACCATCTAAACACCTAGTGCAATCCACATCCAGCTTGTATGTCATTCTTTCATTTTCACTTTTATATTTTATCGACAAAGATCGCCTTAAGGGAACAGGTAAAGCAACTGCAAAAACTTCATTTACAGAAACTGGTTTTCAACTACAAAATGAAGTGCCCGTATCAGCTAATATATCTAAATCATCTACACGACTACACATATATACATAATTACCATGTTAAATATAATGTAAATGTAAACGGATAATTTTGGAATATTTTGTTATAATCTTGAATCCCACGTGACATATTGAAGGTGACAAGGAAGTCTTGAAACTCCTCTCACTGTGAGAAAAGAAGTACACAGTGGAAACAAGTTGAATCAACAAAATGGAGGAGCCAATCAATCTAAAATCGATGACCTACAATTGAATCAACGGCTAATCAATCTAAAATAGATGACCTTACAATTTGAATCAATAGCTAATAAATCTAAAATCGATGACCTTACAGTTGAGGGTAATACAATCACTGAGAAAGTCATTATGAAGATTGATGGAACAAAGATGATAAAGCTGAGAGCGATGAACTTGTAGATGTAGACAGTGATGAGCATTAAAGCTTTGGACTATATCTTCCATATTAATGCGTATTTTAGGGGGTGTATTCAATATAGATTAAAAAAGATTGTGTTAGATTTTTTATAATCTATAGACTATGTAAGATTTATGGATTGTTTTAATTCTATATAGACTTCAATAGATTTCTATGTAAAGATTTATCAAGATTTTAATGGATTATTTCGAGCCCAAAGTGTTAAAAAAAGAAAAAAAAAGGAGACTGAAGGGTCTGGATTGAAGCAAGACATTCACATCTGGAATCTGCAAGTCTGCAACGACGAAGGCTTTGGATTGAAGCGGAGGCTCTGCAACGGTGTCGCCTCCCAAGCCGCCTCCCGCCGTCCCGCGGAATATGATGGAGAGCCTTCTCACTCCCCTCCCCCTGCCCCTACCCAGCTTCTCCCCGTCAAGCCCCTGCAGCGGTGCCGGTCCATCACGATGCCCAGTGGTAGACAAAAACAAGAACACCAGTACATGGAACTATGGAAGTAACCATAACCAAAACAACATAAACAAGTACTTAACATTCCATGGGAACCTCACAATCTGGACCCCAAAAACATTGACAGTCATACACCAAATCCGCATAATGAACAGTGAAATCCCATTCTCAAAAGTCCAGAAATTGAATGGAAATCAAACGGGTGTGGAAACGCTGGCGTTGACCTTCGATTTCTCAAAATTCATATAAAAAATCAGCAAGATAAGCTCTAATACGAAATCCCTAGCTGTAGGCGATCCTAGATTTCCAAAAATCTGAAGCTTTGAGCTCAAATTGGTGGAGTAATTGCGAAGAACCATCTCGCGGTCGGCAGTTCTGCTCATCGAAGAAGAAGAAGAGGGGGAGGCGTGGAACTATGGAAGACCGATCGAAGAAGGAGAATGAAAAAGAATCCGCAAAATCAGAGGTCTGTTGATCGGATTTGGAACAGGATTTATATTTATATGCAAGGCATAGAAATCCATCACAATCCACATTATTTAAAATCTTTCAAAATCTATCGATTTTCTAATACCATCATATTTAGAAGAATATTTTAAAATCTGAGTTGAATACACCCAGATTTTAAACGACGTTTTAAGATCTGAATTGAATACCTATTGATTTTCAGAATCCAAAAAAATTCGTCAGAATTCTGATTGAATACAACCCCCTTAATTTAGTTCACTTTGACTATTTATACTTTAGCTTGACATGTATGCAAAAGATGAACTAATTTTCATATATTGGTTTACTTTCTAGTAAATGGGTTAGTTGTAACCGTTTAAAAGTTTATCGTATTATGTATTGTTGTTAATACAAGTATGAGTATTAATTTTTATTTGTCAATGA